ACGAAATATAATACGATGTAGAATGGTAGCATTTGGTTTCCTACCAGGTTTCTTGTCATCGTTGGGTTTGTGGTTTCTCAGCCACTCCATTAATTGATGAGCTTTAGGAATGGATTTCCTTTCTGTTTGTTTGTAAGCTTCAAATAGCATATCCATCTGAAAAATAACACGCTTTCCCTGTAATTATCGTGAATGTTCCGATAATTTTCCTTCTTTCTTCTAAGTCTACCTTACTATTTAGCCCTCCTTTCAAAGCACCCCTCTCCAATGATACCCCACTAATGAGATACCCCCTCTAACAAGCTCCAAACCTCGTTCCCAGGGCCTTTTCCCTTATTCCCGCTCTAACAAGTTCCCCCCTTTAATACGCTCCACTCGCTAATAAGCCCCCATCGTTAAGTTCCACTCTAAAATAAACTCCCCTCTGAAATAAATTTCTTCTCAAATAGGCCGCTTTCTTTGATCACTCACTTGCCTTTCAGGAGCCTTCTTATAATAATAACCCTCCCCCTCCCCCCCGTCTGGATTTTCAAGTTTCTAGTAAGCTCCCTCTCCCTTTGCGTCTAAAGGCTTGAAGGAGAGTGTTTTTGTCTTGCTCACCCTCTGTTTTAATACGTCTTCTTTGTCACCGATTCCTTCTAAATTAAGCTTATCCGTGTCTAAAGACTGAAGCAGCGCCAAGGTTCGAATCGCTGCTTCAAAGATGGCCTTTGTTTGGTCTGCAGGAACGCCGGGTAAATTGGCATCCGGAAACTGACGACCCTGTTGAGTAGGTCAGGTAATTGAGAAGAATGATGTCCATTACTATTTAAGACTCGATAAACATAAGACATAGAATCGTTCCCTAGACGTCGCATCTTGTTTTTATACGATTTTGACCGAAAGTAGTATAGCTAGAATCTATAATTGAGACTCAAGTAAAAAAATTATACAGTCTTTGCTAGAGCTGCCTGCTAGCCAGACGTTTTCCTTCACCAGAAATTTATGCCTTAGTTTGCATTTTTTAGGAGATGCGCAACAACACTGTTTGGAATTGCATGTCCTTGTATGAGCACCTTTTAGCAATATCAACTTCAATGGCTGATTTCGTTTCAAGATGGAATAATAAGCCCACATTTACTGTCCATTCTGTGAAATATGAAATTCTGTTAAATAGGAAATTCGATGCTCAATTAAACTCGGTAGCCTGGTATGAGTCATTCAGCAACACTCTCCCCATCCCACCCACCAAAAATACTTCCCAAAATCTTCTCTATTTATTGCCTAATTACAAAGTAAGCAAAAAAGACGAGAGGGATACACCATATGCTGGGATAAACAGTAACGCTCAACTGAAAAAGCATCAAAATAATCTTTTTACCTTGATGTACTCCATGACGTAAAATTCTTAGCCCACGATTGTCTTGTCTTCACAAAAGAGGTACATTTTCGGTACCGGAAAAGAGGCCTCTCCAAGAGCAGACATGATTTTATCCTCCACGTCGACCTGTACGTAAGAGTTGGAAGCGTCCATGAAAAGCCAGTTTAAACTCTTTCTACCCTATGGTTTAAACCGATGGAAGGAACGGTACCTTGTGAAATCCCGCATACATCTGATATGGTGCCTTATGCCTCAAGACGAAATCTTTACCATTTTTTTGAAGCAGAAAGGTTGGATTCGACGTTCCAGTCCTGTTAATTGCATCAAAAATAGAGATATAGAACGTCTCTTGCCTCAGAAGGAGATGTTATTTAAAGTCCTTTTAATTATCACATTTGACAGTCAGCCGTAGCGCAGGCAATGAATTAAATATGCGAATCTTGACCCTTTTTGACCTTTGGTTGAGTTTTCCCGACTAATTAATCCTCGGTGGTAAAATGCAATTAAAAACACTTCAGTAAAGCCTGCGTCAATGAGGCTTGCCTCTTTTCCCTGGACACTCTCGTTTCTGGCAATAAAGGAATATGTCCGGGTAAAACAGGTTTGGTTTTCTTAAACAGTGTCTATAAATAGGGTGCTTTCTGAGTCAGAAGCCTTCTACCGGAATAAATGTTTGTTTTTACAGCGTAAAGAGTGGGCCTTTCAGACCCTTTTCACAAAAGTAGACACTTAAATGAGACTTGAAGATGGTTTAGAAAGCGGTTTTGCTGAACGACGGGCATTAAACATCTTTTTAGCAATCGGTCAATTCGGTGTCTATACTAGCCTTATGGTTACTGAAACCCCAGCGCTTAGGACAATTCTTTGTATCTGCCTTATTTGCATGATATATGCTGCTTTGATTGAAAAGTGATATTTGCGTTCAATGTTGCATAGCGAATCGTGGAATCGTGCACTATTTCATGATTTCCTGACTTTCTGTCCTATCGAACTGAGTCATAAGATGTAACTACAGTCCTTGATAGAGAAACGGTTGTTCACATAGAGACATTTTAGTCGAAACCTTTACTTTATGACTGTAAACATTCAATTTCAGTTCGAATTTTGCAACGGAGTTAATCGGCTAGCCATCAGTGATAAATAAATCATGACTTTTGTTCAGCTTTTCGTGTTTCCTACCTGAATTTGAAAATCTTTAGCTCACCATCGCCTTGAGGAAAATCGGACAGATTTTTTATCAGGAAATCGTGAAGTTTTGAGCTATCAAACGTTTGTTCCTCCATTCTTTCAGCACCAAAGAAATAAATTGCGTGACAAGGAACTTTCAGTTTGACGTCATTTCATCGCCGCGGCGTGGCAAAATATGGCGATAGGTAGTTCCCAGGGTCCTCTCTCTGCCTATTTCACTATTCTCATCTTCCAGGCACCGCGTGTTAAACGAATTTTTGAATGAAGACTGACGTTTAGGCCTCAAAACCTTCTGACGTCAA